CAGTTGGAGGGGAAGCAAAGGCATTTCCACATCTGTAGTTTTTTTTAAAAATGCTTCTGGCACAAGTTACATTAGGAAATGATTCCAATGCAGGACATAAAATACAGTGCCAGCCAACGTTCCCTCTAATTTTCTACACATGTAGGATGGGAGCCTCACCCCATGCGTGCAGGGTTCCAGCTGCAAGCAGAAGCAAATGGACAGCAAATCTGGCTCAGCTGTGCAGCCCCAATCCAGTGCTGCGTAGCCACATGGCTTTGCTGCTTAGAGGGAACATTGGTGCCAGCTAGTTTGGAGCAATCACCTTTTCTTTTCACTACTGGCTAGCATTGATAGCCCCTTCCCCTAGTTATTTTGGTTTTACAGATTTAAAACGATCATTCTTATCTGTTTTTCCAAGACTATATTTCTAATTCTTGTTTACTTTCCATCCAGCAATATGTATGCCTTTCAAGAGATGGGAAGTTGCATTCTGTATTACTTGTTGCCTTTAAACAGTTTTCAGAAAAGCTCCAGTTGTTGAAGCAGGTTGGAATTAAAGTTTCAAAGCAAAGAAATTGGTACAACTGTTGTTTTATCTGAATACAAGAAGAGGAAAACTCTCGGTCTCAATGCTAAAGGAAAGTGTACTTTATACATGCTTGTGAAGGATGCCAGGTCACCATAGAAATGATCCACTGATCACTTAGCCATACTACCCTTGTTCTACCTAGTGTAGTTGCTTGCCAAGCAGGTCAATGTGCTATGGATTGGGAAAACTGCCTGTGAGCCCCTTCTCCCAACACCTTTGAGCCCCATGTTCACTTGGTGTTCCAGGGAGAACAAAACGGGCAGGTGGTTGCTTTAGACTGCAAACTGACCTTGCAAGATAGAAAACTCAAAGGCCATAAAATGGCCAAAAAGATTACTGAGTGTAAAGCTGAGTTTAGTACAGTACCAACAACTCCTAAGCTGTCTGAATAAAAACACAGTTGTAATTATTTAATTAATGTCATTATTTTTACTCAATTTTTTAGCAAAACATACATTCAAGAGTAAGCTTAATAACTCTAAAACAGTGATGATGCTATGAAGCAGTTCCATAATGATAGGCACAAGTCAGTTTCAGAAAACTAAGTAGCAATGATAATAACCAAAATCAGTTTCAGAAAATTAGGCAGTTAAGGGCTAGTCCTATGTAAATCAACAGAACTATCTAACCTCAAGCTATACTTTTATTAATAGTGTAGTTCCAGGGGACAAGCAGAGTTTAGCATAATAGCAGATTAAATTACATGTTAAAGTAAGTTTGAAGTTGCTACAACGAGCTGTTTACTAAACCATTCTTCTAGCTGGCCTTATATCCCATTATTCCCTCATGAGTGCCAATCAGATAGAGTCCTTACTGAAGCTAATTAATTGGTAACTTTTGCAAGAGTAAAGCATGAGTTTACCATATGCACTTAATCAGCATACTATAAGAAATCAAGTATTACTGCTTCTCAAAAGATACTCCCTTCTTTCAAGGACAGAGGTAACACCTGCCTGTGACAACTCTAATTGCATAGGCATTTTCTCTCAGTTATTTTCAAGATTTTTAAGGGAATTAGATCAGATGGTTAAACCCTATTTTGCTGATTCCTTCACAATGCTTAATGCACTCTTGTCCAAAAAGCCACAGGAGATTAAAATGTATTTGATGGTTAAAACCTTATTAATTTCATTGAGGTTTGTGAAACTTCAGCCCTAATTTTTCTTACTTTTCTTGTTACTTCAAAGGGTGTGTCAATGTGCTTAGTACTTTCACCTCTTCAATATAATTTGATAGTCATACTGCAGTTTGAGATTATATTTACAGACATTTTATTTTGGATGGAAGCCAAACAGTTCATGAGCATGGTTGAAGTCCTATATGCCCCTTAACTCCCCCATAGTGTATGCTGAGAAATACAATAAAGATTTTACTTTGAAAAAAGGAGCAAGCAACAGAAGATCTTTAAAGAGAAGTTAGGATTTCATTGTCTTCCAAATAGTGCAGAGTGTTTGTATAGTATTTATCACCTTTGTTCTCCTTTTCATGCATATGTTGAGTTGTATCTTACTTATAAAATACAAGAGTACAACTTAACATATGACTGAAGTGGACAACAAATGTGATATATAAAATAAGGCACATGGGTGCAGTGTAGGGAAAATTGCTTTCAAGGGGAGGTAACTGATGAATACAGGAAGGCACATGGGTGCAGTGTAGGGAAAATTGGTTTCAAGGGGAGGTTGATGAATACAGGCTTCCATTTGAAAATGTCATACATGTATAAATTAGTCTTTTAATGTGGTTTGGTCACTGATGTTATAATTCTGTATGCAATCACTTTATTTATTAGAATCATCATCATCAATCTTCTTAGAATTACAGAGCTGGAAGGGACGCTATGGATCATGGAGTTCAGCCACTGTCAAGGTGGTCTAGTGGGAAATTGAACTCCCAACCTCTGGCTTTGCAGCCAGAGACCTAAACCACTGAGCTGTTGAGCAGTTCATAATAATCTTAGAACTGCAGAGCTGGAAGGGATGCAGTGGATCATGGAGAGCAACTGCTCTCAAGGAGGCACAGTGGACATTTGAATTCACAACCTCTGGCTCTGTAGTGAGCTACCCAAGCCGCAGAGCTATCCAGCATATTTTTGTCTTGCCATATATTGAAAACTCAGGATATGTTGCAGCAAGAACCAGTTTAAGACAATTTACTATATATACTTGAGTATAAGCCTAGTTTTCCAGCACAGTTTTTTTTTTTGCTAAAAAAGCAACCCCTTGGCTTACACTCAAGTCAGTGTCAAAATTACATGTTCTTCCCTGCAGTGCAGGTGTTCTCCAGACTCCCCCGCTCATCTACGGGCGCCTGCAGCCTTTGTGGGTGGTCCTATGACCTGGGTTAAGTACACTGCATTTCTGCTTCCAGGACCCCCCCATCCTCCTCCTTCTGCATATTCTGTGTACCCACCTTCCTCCTCCCACCTTCCTCCTCCATCCTCTGTCTCCCTCCATCTTGTTATGCAGCACTAGAGCAGTAGATAAGTGCAGCATCCGGTATGAGTCCTCCCTCTGCAGGCAGTGAAGTATGTCTCGCAGCTCAGAAGGGCAGTATCTTCAAAAACATTTAACCTACTGATTCCTCAATTAATGTAATTTTATTGGTATCTATTTTTATTTTTGAAATATACCAGTAGTTGCTGCATTTTCCAGCCTTGGCTTATGCTTGAGTCAATAAGTTTTCCCAGTTTTTTTTTGTGGTAAAATTGGATGCCTCAGCTTATATTCGGGTTAGCTTATACGTGAGTATGTACGGTAAATCAGTTAAAAACATAATATGCACACCTGGTAGCTGTTCAGTGAAACATACTTTTGAGTAGGCATAGGCTTATGTTGTTACTACAAATAGACATAGACTTAGGCTATGACTGAGACTTTTTTTTGGTCTTGCTTTTTTGGTATTATTCTACCATAATATTAATACTTTCTTGTAATAATTACTCACTAATATTAATGGGAAAAACGGATTATACTAGCAAATACAGTTTGCTTTTGTAGAATACTCTTCTTGCTTATAAATAATATTACTGTTTATCAGCTGTTGTAAAATCAGCAAACTGGAATTTATAAACAGACTTGGGATCTAGAAATTTGAGAGAACACCTCTCTCCTTATGTACCTGCTCGATCCTGTGTTATACCTTTGTGTGTGCTTACTTTGCAGGAAGAGACAAGTACTGTAATGGCTTTCTCAAGTATTATCCCCTAACTGTGGAAAACCCTCTACAGTGGTGCCTCGCTTAATGACGATAATCCGTTCCAGGAAAATTGCCGTTAAGCGAAAACAGCATAAAACGAAATTTAAAAACCCCATTGAAACACATTGAAACCCGTTCAATGCGTTCCAATGGGGTAAAAACTCACAGTCCAGCGAAGATCGTCCATATGGTGGCCATTTTTGCTGCCTGTATAGCAAGGAATCCGTCCCTAAACACAGCGGGGAGCCATTTTAAGCACCCAGCTGCCATTTTGAAACCGCTGATCAGCTGTTAAAAAAACATTGTTTTGCGAAGAATCGGTTCCCAAAGTGGGGAACCGATCATCGCAAAGAGAAAAAACCTTATTTAGACCATCGTTTTGCGATCACAATTGAGATTGCAAAAAGATCATCATACAACGGTTTTGTCGTAATGCGGGGCAATCTTTAAGCGAGGCACCACTGTACTTGATAGTTTCACTGCTTGCTGATGCTACCTTTCTTTTTGTGCCTATTTAAAATCTTCACCTGTGCATTCAGTATGTAATGATAATAGTTTGGCTTCTGGTCTTCTGGATTTTGTTTTGCTTGAATTATTAAATTGTCTTAAAAGTCAGAATCCAATTGAATATGCCAGTATAAGTCTGATGACATACATTTCATTGATAAGAATGTACTAAAAAGTCTGTTTGCATTTCCTGGCATATGTCAAATCGTGTAACTAGTGTGCAGCAGGAAATACACTCACTGACCTATTGACCAGTGGCAGCTCACTGCTAAGATTTACACTGTTGCACTTACATGGGTGGGTGTAAGAAATAGGATACATTTTAAATTGTGTTCAAATATTTGTTTTAGACTCTTTTAAGTTGGTTTTGATTGTTGATACAGAATAGATTTGAAAAAACTTTGATTATTCTGCTATTTCCTCTCCTAAATAGACTTTGGATATTATCATGGCTATTTCAGCTTTGGGTAAAGTAATTGCCCAAGTTCTTCAGCCCAAAAGCTATTTTTCATCCCATTTCTTTTACCTTGGATAATCAGCTACAACAATCTTTCTATTTCTCACATACATTTGGAGGGACATGGGGTTGAAATCAACGAATTTTACTTGTAAGTAAACACTTCTATACTACAACTGAGGTGTTTTTTTGGCTATCATCCTAGTTGGAAACTTTGGAATTCAAGAGGGGGGAAAAGTTAATACATCTTTTCCTTTAAATCAACAGATTGTCTGTTTGATATGGTGGGACTTGGAAATAGCCGTCGTGGGATGAAATCACCACCTCTTCTAGTAGCAGCACTTGTGGCTTGTATAATTGTTCTAGGATTCAATTATTGGATTGCAAGTTCTCGCGTTGTTGATTTGCAGGTATTGCTCTTTTGTTGCTTGCCAGATTGTTTGAAGAAGCAGAAATGTATTTTCTCCATTGTTTCAGATTTAAGCAAATTAAAGCCTAAGATATGAAATGTACTTCAGGATTTCCATATCTTTCCACTGACAGATATTTGAGTCTTAGCCATAAGAGCAAATACAAGAGGGGAAGAAAAATGTGTGAGGAATACTGTAGCTATGTTAGCTAAATACAGTATTGCAGCACATTCAACGAGGAAACTCTTAACAGTGTTTCATGATATTTATACAAATGTGAACACTACTTCATCTCTGTGCATTCATGAATACATACTTACATAAGTATGTACACACAGAAATAGGCCTAATGCAGAAGTTGGAGGTGCTTATTTTAGATCAGTATGTGAACACCATTTCTTGATTCCTTGATTGTCCCTTGTTGCATGATCATTTACAGCTGTTGCCATATTATTTCCCAGTGTTATTTTCTCACCATCTATCTGTATCTGTGTTCTTAAACTGTGCAACTCAGTGGCACCTCAGTAAGTGATTTAATGAGGGCGCACTGTTGATTGCTGTGTGAGTGAGGTGTGAACATTTGCATGTGTAGATATGTGTAGATAAATAAATCTTGTTTTGTTTTCTGGAATTTAAATTGATTATTGTATATTTATTGAAATTTTTTTAGACTTTCTCTTCATAATTTTTTATCCGGTATTTCATAGAATCATATAATGGAATTAGAAGGCAAAGTCCGCAGGGCAGAATTGGAAAGTAATGAATTCCAAAGAGAACGGAGAGGAGAGATGGAGAAAATCCAGATCCGTCATAATTTCTTAATGGAAAATGCAAACAAAATACACAGGGATGAGAAGGTAATGTTCTGTTTTGGGCCTCTTTGTGCAATTTGTATGCAAAAAGTAGATTTATTGAATATTTTTTAGTGCCTGAATTGTATAGCATCTCTTCTGGCATAAAGGAAAAGATTTCTGCTGTGGAGGGTTTAACCTCAGTGTGATAGGAATTAGGCTTTAAAAGTACACATTAAGGGTGGCAGCAGAAATATACTGCTTCTAGGGTGTTAATATAGGAGGAAGATATTTCACTGTTGCAACCTCCAACGGCCAAGAATGGGCATGTGTAGCCCTAGACACTGGGACATTGCCCACCCCTGATATATCATGGAAATAAAATGGGGACCTGTGAAAGTAATACATGGCAAGGGATATGAATTAGTTATGTGTTTTTCTTTATTTTGTTGTGGCCAAATGGAAGAATACCCAAAGCCTATTGAGCACCTTAAAGACTAACTGCTGTATTTTGATAAGAGTTTTTGTGGACAAATCCACTTCTTCAGGCCTTAAATACTAACTGTCCAAAGCTGTGGAATTCTCTCCCCCAACATCTTCATATGGAACCAGAGTTGGACAATTTAGATATGGTTTGAAAACCTGTCTATTCAACATAGGTGTTGGGTGTAGGAAGAGGTCAGCGACTGGTATAATTTATTCATTTAGCTGTAATTAGTTAGCTGTTTTTATGAGCAGATTGTTCATTTTTCTTGGTTAATTCTTCCTCAGGGCTTAAAGATTAACTGCTGTATTTTGATGTGAGGTTTTGTTTATAAGCCTGAGGAAAAGCTCACATTAAAATATAGCAATTAGTCTTTAAGGTGCCAGAACGTTTTTGTCTTCTTCTTTTTTTCTTTTTCTTTTGTTTTTTTTGCCTGCTATGAAACAGATTAGTTATGTTGAATTTTACAAGACTGTACACTTAGCTTTTTATAGGCCCGTTTATTGTCCTGTTAATGTATAATGCAAGTCTGATCTATTACAAAATCCAAATGAAGAAAATATGTTCACAATAGAAATCTAGGACATGCTTCCTAGTTAAAAAAGTATTGCCTGTTCTATCCTCCAGGCTGAGGGTATCTAGCAATATTTCTTTTTCAGTTGTATCCTTGCCAAAAGCCTGTGAGACAGAGCAGAACTATATTTTTTACAGTGACAGAACTAGTCCCATTGAGCGACTCCCCGGTTAAAGTGGAATTTCATTCTGTGAGGATCAGATTTTATATCAGGTATAGATTTACTGGAGCATTTAAGGCTGGTAATTTTTTCTCACCATTGTAGGGTAGAAATAATGATTTATTTTGCAAAGTGATTTCAGAGTGAAGAAAAAATCTTCATCACTTTGCAGAATAAAATGAGTTCTAGGATCTGACTTTCCTACCAGAAGTTGTTAACATCTGCTTTGTGTAAGTCTTGTATGTGATGGTGAATTATTGTTTTGGCTTGATTTTCATGTTTTACACGGTAATTTATAAACTGATACTTTAAAATAAAAATTCTGTGAGAACAACAGAGCGTGAGTAATGGAAGTTTCAAAAGACAAACTAGAGAAGGACTTAATGTTTATATTCTAATGTAGCATATGTGAGCTTCTAAGCATTGTGTTGGCTGCTCACATCTTTTTTGTTATTTTGATAAATAGAGGAATGTATATGCCTGTTTTAGAGAAACCTCGAAGTATTTATGCTAAAGACATAAAAAAACAACAAAATAGATGTATCAAACTGAAAGTTGTAGATTACTGTACTAGGTTTTAATTCATCCACAGCCCCATCCTGATCTTTTTTCCACATCATCAGGAAACTGTGAGTAAGGAGCTCAAGTTCTTATCAGCTCTAGTGAACTAGGGATTTATCTATCTAGCATAAATTTTGAGTTCCTTAACCCCTTTTGATATGATGTGTTCTTACTGTGAGACAGAGGGTGAGAGGGATACCCCACTTGCTGGAGAGCCGTCCCTCCTCAACAGCATAGATGGGGAGGTGGACCCCATACCGAACCTTCAGTGGAACCTCTGCAGGAGACAGTGAGGAGCTGACAGAAGATATACAGAAAGTGAAGATAGGGGAAGTTCAGGAAGAAAAGGCGGGGAGGGAGAGAAAAAAAGAGGGTGGAGTTTGAAGCAGGAGCAGGGGAAGTAGAAAGGAGGGAAGAGCAGTTACCCTCTGGTTGGGAATGGGTGTGGATGCAGGATCCGTGGACAGGATTGTGGGAGAGATTGAGAGTGCCAAAGGAGGAGGCAGATAGTAGGAGAAGAGTTGAGATTCGTCTTAAACCCTCTTATTAGGGGGAAACAGAGGCAAGGGAGTGGAGAAGGAGAGTGAGAGAAGAAAAGGAACGAGTAGAGAGAAGAGAGGAAGGTTGGAATGGAGAGTGAGAGAAATGAAGAGAAGGAACTACAGGGAAGATCCTGGGAGAATCGAGACCCTGATGGACCGATCTTGTGGGATGACAATCTGGATGAGGAGACCGTGCCGTTGCTGGAAGGAGCGATAAGGCAGACCGTAAAATGGGATGACAATCTGGATGAGGAGACCGTGTCCTTGCTGGAAGGAGCGACAAGGCAGACCATAAAGGACTGGGTCTCAAACAATCTCCAGGGACCCATTTGTCAAACCTGTTCTTGTTCAACGAGTCGAAGCCCCTTCCCGACCAGTTGGCAGAAGGAGAAAGGACTTATAATCATGTTCTAGACACTTGTTTATTGTTTAATCCTCCAATAAATTCCCCCACCTGTTTTGAAACAACCTGGATCTGCTGATTTCTTTGAATTGAAGTTGGAGCCTAAAGTTGAACCCTCACACATACCCTCACCAATTTGTAGGAAAATGAACTTTGTTCTCAATTTTTCTCTTTGCTTTCATGTACAGATAATTACTCCTTTTAGTCTATGTTTTTCATTAATTTATCTTAATGAGAGGGTGCATTGTTTAGGCACCTCTTAATAATCACAGTTTCTCCAAAGCTAGCGGGAACTGCATTCCTGACTTCATGACTGCTGGCAGCTCTGCCTGTACTCCATTAGTATTCTGAGATTTTAAACAATGATTTTTTTTCAGTTTTCTAAAAAATGAAATATCTGATTCTCAAGATTCTGTTTCTGTATGTGGTATCTAACTTTGCATTTGCACAGTGTCATAATCATAGTGTCAGGTCATATGCTTTAACACGCTGATTCTGACGTGGGTGCCTGTTGAGTGGAATTAAGTAGTTTATAAGTTGTCTAGAGACCATTCTGTACTGCCTGAAATTTCCTGGATAAAGAGACATTCTTTCCCCAGGAAATTTCAGGCAGGCAGTGTTATACCATCTGCCCACCAGCTGGGGCAAGATATGTTTTGTACAGCAAGAAAGCCTTCTGCTTTTTTATCAAATATTTCAGCAACAGGTATAAAGGAATCTACTACATGAAGAAGGGCTTCTTCAAATTTAGGGTTTCCCCCCCAAAAAAGACAAGATAAAAGAGCAGTTCTTCTGTATTTGCTACTTTTTTTTCCTTTGCCTCTATTCATTTTGTTCATATTTTACTATGATGAGATCAGCAGAACTTATAACAAATGGCCCAGACTATCTAGGAGATATATCTCATATATTTGTGGGATGTATTTAAGCATTGCATCCAATTTTTATATGATACAAAGTTGAAATACTGTAGGAAAAGTGTTATGTTTAGGCACATAGCTAAAACTGCAGTTTTAAAAAAGAGTATTGTATGCAGTTATACGTATTGTAGAACTATATTGTGATGAAAAAAAGAAATTGAAGAAGACTGTTTCCTAGAGTGTATGTCCATAAGAAAAAAATAATACTGGAAATGTTGCAGTCGCCTATGTCATGCTTTATCCTTGGGGTTTTTTTAATCTTTGGGTAATCCTGTATATGGCACTTAAGAAATGATAAACATAAACATTGAGTAACATAATTCTTTTGTGTGTGCGGTGTGTGCGTTTTGATCTATTCAAGGTATCAGCATTGTCTGAATAAAACTGCTCTACTACTATAGTATTACTAGATGGTTATCCACGCTACAGCCCCTGTTCTTTTGGTTTAAGGATAGTCAAAGACTATTCTACCACGAGGATTAGCTAGCATTTATATAATGCTGGAAAGTAAATGCCAATTTGTAAGATTGGATCAAAACTTAATAATTTTTTGAGTAGGCTTATAGAATGAGTCTTTAGTCTGGATTTAACTCACTGCTTCTCAGTCACTTTTTTTTCTTTTTTCCAGGCAACACTGCTGAATAACATCACAGTAAATGAGAAACTGATCCACAGTCTTCAAGGTAAATCTCAATAAAACAACATCTTTTTAATATATAAATTTGCTTCTCCCTAAAAAACTTCATTAAATAGTTACTTGTAGAAAAATTTCCATTCAGAGTATTAAGAAACTGTGATAGCAACCAGAATTGTTTCCAACCATAGGCCCATACAGAATGTCTATAATTGTAGCATGTAGGAAATTTGTTTATAAAGTGAAAGCCACAGGACTAATGTAGACAAGATGCTGGAGATCTGATCAAATTATTCATCCATCAATTCTTTTTTTTTAAAAAAAAGGCGGAGTGTGGAGCATGTGAGGAATTTACTTTCATTTTAATTAAAATTAAATAAAAAATCCTCTAAATATGCAGTGCCTAAAATGTTTCAGGCAGGAATCTACAGAGCAGATTGGCTTCAAGTCTCCCTCAGTAGACCACCCCTTATTTGTTTGTTTACCTCAACTGGCACTTCTTATCTCAATACAGTTATCTCAATTCAGAGATTCCAAATGTATCAGTTTATCGCCCGTCCCTTCTCTCTCTATGGACAAAAGGCCTCCACTCTTCTTATGGCATAGTCTGTTTGGATAGATAAATCTGCATAGAGGCATGCGGACAGATTATCTTTGTCATGGAGCTAGAAAAAGATCTCACTACCCTCTAGTTGTGCTACTTAAAGCTGAAAACATAAACGTACCTGCTAGAGCTAAGCCCTGGTGAATACAAGGATTGAAACACCATTCAACAGGAATGACGTCACTAGCAGCAGGAGAATTGATTAATTCTTTTTCAATTACGGGTGTACATGATTTTGTGCACCCATAATTGTCTCATCATGTGAAAGCTGTGCGTACCCCAAAATAAAATAGTGAAGTCTTTTATCAGCAGCAGTCTGCCACTGATGGTGATGTCATCCCTCCCATTCGTCACAAAGACTAAGGAGTAATAGGGGTTTAACTCATATAGACATTTATCTTCTTACTGTAGATCATTAATCTTTTTGATGATGGAAATACTAACATCAGTCTGGTTGATAATCTATATTTTCCTCTCCTCATACTTCTATATTTTTTTCTATTTCATAATTTGAAATTTAAAAAAAATCATGGATCCAGAACACTTGAAAGAACTGCAGCAGGAATATGGAAAGCTCCAACTGGATATATATAAATTTCAGAAAAACCAGACCAACCTTCAGAGGAAATTTACATATGACATGTAAGTTTGCATTAGTCCACTAGTAATATTAGAAGCAAAATGGCCATATACCATTTTGACTTGCTTCACTGAAGTCAGTGGAATTGAGGCTACATTCTTATGTTTCTACATACTGTACTTCCATGACACATCTACTAAAGTCAGTGGAACTTATTTTTGAGTAGATACGTATAGTCCTGGATAGCTGAACATATGAAGTACTTCTAAAAGTATACTTAATTTACTCACATCTGAATTTAGACCTTCAATTTGATCATCTTACTGTACCTGTGAATAAATCAAAACTACAAAGCCTTAAATGATTGGTTATTAACATCAAGGACATTTTTCTCTGACATTACCTTTTGTCTATAATATCAGAAATGTGAATGCAAAAAATGGAAAGATTGCGTCTAAGAAAGAATGAATATAGTTTATAAGGAGTGCCTTATGTTATTTAGAGTCTGCATAAAATGTAACTGTACAGACCAAATGCAGTAAATCTCTTGCCACTCTCCAGAACAGTAAGAACAGGGAGGTTTGAGTAACTTCTTGTTGTTTAGTCGTTAAGTCATGTCCAACTCTTCGTGACCCCTGGACCAGAGCACGCCAGGCCCTCCTGTCTTCCACTGCCTCCCAGAGTTTGGTCAAATTCATGTTGGTAGTTTTGATGACACTGTTGAATCATCTCGTCTGCTTCTCCTCTTGCCTTCACACTTTCCCAACATTAGGGTCTTTTCCAAAGAGTCTTCTCTTCTCATGAGATGGCCAAAGTATTGGAGCCTCAGCTTCAGGAGCTCTCCTTCCATTGAACACTAGGGGTTAAGAATGGATAGGTTTGTTCTCCTTGTAGTCCAGGGGACTCTCAAGAGTCTCCTCCAGCACCACAATTCAAAGGCATCAATTCTTCGGCAGTCAGCCTTCTTTATGGTCCTGCTCTCCCTTCCATGCATCGCTACTGGAAACACCAAAGCTTTGACTATGCGAACCTTTGTCAGCAAGGTGATGTCTCTGCTTTTTAAGATGGCCATTTTTGGTGCTCTCCTCTTTCACCCTCATTAGGAGGTTCTTTAATTCCTCCTCACTTTCTGCCATCAGAGTGGTATCATCTGCATATCGGAGGTTGTTGATATTTCTTCTCGCAATCTTAATTCCAGGTTGGGATTCATCCAGTCCTTTCTTTCGCGTGATGTATTCTGCATAAAAGTGAAAGAAGCAGGGAGAAAATATACAGCCTTGTCGTACTCCTTTCCCAATTTTGAACCAGTTAGTTGTTCTATATCCAGTTCTAACTGTTGCTTCCTGTCCCACATATAGATTTCTCAAGAGATAGATAAGGTGGTCAGGCACTCCCATTTCTTTAAGAACTTGCCATAGTTTGCTGTGGTCCACACAGTCACAGGCTTTTGCATAGTCAATAAAGCAGAAGTAGATGCTTTTCTGGAACACTCTGGCTTTCTCCATAATCCAGCACATGTTAACGATCTATTTTCTCTGCCCCTTTCGAAATCCAGCTTGTACTTCTGGGAGTTCTTGGTCCACATACTGCTGAAGCCTACTTTGTAGGATTTTGAGCATAACCTTGCTAGCGTGTGAAATGAGTTCAATTGTACGATAGTTGAAGCATTCTTTGGCACTGCCCTTCTTTGGGATTAGGATGTAAACTGATCTTTTCTAATCCTCTGGCCACGGCTGAGTTTTCCAGACTTGCTGGCATATTGAGTGTAGCACCTTAACAGCGTCATTTTTTATTTAAGGTTTTAAATAGTTCAACTGGAATGCCATCCCCTCCACTGGCCTTGTTGTTAGACAAGCTTTCTAAGGCCCACTTGACTTCACTCTCCAGAATGTCTGGCTCAGGGTCAGCAACCCCACTATCTGGGTTGTCTGGGAAATCCAGATCTTTATGGTATAATTCTTCTGTGTATTCTTGCCACCTCTTCTTGATGTCTTCTGCTTCTGTTAGGTACCTACCATTTTTGTCCTTTACCATGTCCATCTTTGCACAAAATGTTCCTCTAATATCTCCAATTTTCCTGAACAGATCTCTGGTTTTTCCCTTTCTATTATTTTCCTCTATGCACTGTTCATTGAAGAAGGGCCTCTTGTCCTTGCTATTCTTTGGAAATCTGCATTCAATTTTCTGCAACTTTCCATATCTCACTTGCATTTTTGTTTCCATTCTCTTCTCTGCTGTTTGTAAGGCCTCATTGGACAGCCACTTTCCTTTTTTGCATTTCCTTTTCTTTGGGATGTTTTTTGTTGCTGCCTCCTGTACAATGTTATGAGCCTCCATCCAAAGTTCTTCTGGCACTCTGTCCACCAAATTGAGTTCCTTAAATCTGTTCTTCACTTCCACTGTGTATTCATAAGGGATTTGGTTTAGAGCAGTGCTTCCCAACCTTGGGTAATCTAGGTATTCTTGGACCGCAGTTCCCAGAAATCCCAGGCAACACAGCTACTGGTGAGAGCTTCTGGGAACTCTAGTCCAAAAACACATGGGTTACCCAAGGTTGGGAACCACTGGTTTAGAGTATAGCTGACTAGCCCAGTGGTTTTTCCTACTTTCTTCAGTTTAAGCTTGAATTTTGCTATAAGAAGCTGATGATCAGAGCTACAGTCAGCTCCAGGTCTTGTTTTTGCTGACTGTATAGAGCTTCTCCATCTTTGGCTGCAGAGAATATAATCAATTTCAGTATTGCCCATCTGGTGATGTCCATGTGTAGAGTCACCTCTTGTGTTGTTGGAAAAGAGTGTTTGTGATGACCGGCTTGTTCTCTTGACAAAACTCTATTAGCCTTTGCCCTGCTTCGTTTTGAACTCAAAGGCCAAACTTTCCTGTTGTTCTTTTTATCTCTTGACTCCCTACTTTAACATTCCAGTCCCCTATAAGGAGAAGTACATCTTTCTTTGGTGTCAGTTCTAGAAGGTGTTATGTCTTCATAGAATTGGTCAATTTCAGCCTCTTCAACATTGGTGGTGGTTGCATAAACTTCAATTACTGTGATGTTGAAAGGTCTGCCTTGGATTCGTATTGAAATCATTCTATCATTTTTGAGATTATATCCCAGTACAGTAGAACCTCTACTTACGAACTTAATCTGTCCGAGAAGATGTTCGTTAGTTAAAATGAATGCATTGAAAACTGATTAATCTATTCCGTCCGAAGGAAAAAATACCCAAAGAAAGAAAGAAAGAAAATAAACACATCAAGTCCCACGCTGTCACTGCAAAACAAACAAACATCCCAAAATAAACATTGGAGCTAGCCCCACGCTGGGAGTGGGGGAAAAATAACAACACAGAAACATAAACCCCCCGGCCCAAACCTACCCTCCAAAACCTACCCAGAACAACTTTTTTATAAAAGGAGCACTTTTCTCATCTGAATCCTCCCGGGGGTCCCCCACCGCAGTGATCACTGCCATCGGAGACTTCCCAGGGGTCCCCTGCCACTGCAATCGCTGCCACCGGAGACTTCCCAGCGGTCCCCGCCACCATATTCGCCTCCATTGGAGACCTCCCGGGGCTTCCCCACCCCAACGCAGGCTTTCCCGGGGTAGACCGTGCCTGCCAGGGGAAGCCCTGGTAGAGACCCCGGGAGGCCTCCAAAGGCAGGGATCACAGTGCCGGGGGATCCCCAGGAGGTCTCAGATGGCAGCGATCGTGGTGGCAAGGGACCCCTGGGAGGCCTTTGAAGGCAGCGATCATGGCAGCGGGGGACCCCCGGGAGGTCTCTGATGGTGGCGATCGCGGCAGCGGCGGACCCCTAGGAGGCTGAGCCTCCCTTTTCTTAACTGTTGGGGTGCAAGCCTCTTCGCCACCAATGGTTAGCAAATTTAAATTTACCACCCTTTTCCCCTGCCTTTTTTCATTCGTATTGTGAAGCTCCATTCGCAAGTAGAATCAAAATTTTGCAAAAGGAGGTGTTCGTAAATTGGATTATTTGTAGGTAGGGATGTTTGTAAGTAGAGGTTCCACTGTACAGTTTTTCCCACTCTTTTGTTGACTATGAGGGCTACTCCATTTCTTCTATGGGATTCTTGCACACAATAGTAGATATGATAATCGCCTGAATTGAATTCACCCATTCCTGTCCATTTTAGTTCACTCATGCCTAGTATGTCAATGCTTATTCTTGCCATCTCCTGTTTGACCACATCCAGCTTACCATGGGTCATAGATCTTACATTCCAGGTTCCTATGCAGTATTTTTCTTTGTAGCATCGGACTTTCCTTTCACTTCCAGGCGCGTCTGCAGCTGAGCGTCCTTTCGGCTTTGGCTCAACCACTTCATTAGCTCTGGAGCTACTTGTCCTTGTCCTTCGCTCTTCCTCAGTAGCATGTTGGACACCTTCCGATCTGAGGGGCCCATCTTCCAGCGTCATATCTTTTAGCCTTTTGTTTCTGTCCATTGAGTTTTCTTGGCAAAGATACTGGAGTGGCTTGCCAGTTCCTGCTCCAGATGGATTGTGTTGTGTCAGAACTCTCCACTTGAGTAACTTGTAGCCCAGTACAAATGTTGTTTTGCAGGCTATGTTTGGCTTTATTATATCTATGTATAGATATAATACTCTCCCAATAGTACTATTCTGACAGTTACCCTGTGAGTTACATTAGATTGAGACATAATGACTGGCCCAAGATCACTTGCTGAGCTTCATGGCTTGGTAAGTACTGTATTTGAAACTGGGTCTTCCCACAGCCCAGCATCTGGTTCAATAACTACACCACACTGGCTTAGTAGATTACAAATTGTGCATACTGTATCTTGTGTCTCCAGAAGAATGTATTTGATCATCCTTCACTTTCATTCAAGGTCTCAGTGCATTAATCAGATGAAGGAACTGAAAGAACAATGTGAAGAAAGAATAGAAGCGATTTCAAGAAAAGGCAGTGAGATACCTCAAATAAAGGAGAAGAAAAACATCTCAAATACATCAGACAAAAATGACCAAGTAAGAGTTAAAATTTTGTTTAGCAGGGAAATATTAACACAAAGAGTGGTGAATTGGGTCATGTAGACTCAGTTTGCTATTTAGACGACAATACCAGGGTCAGCAACTTTTGTTGCTATTGCGATCGCAAAGCGATGTTTAAATGGGGGAAATCCGCTTTATGATGATCAGTTCCCTGCTTCAGGAACTGATTTTTCGCATAACGATGGTTTTGAAACAGCTGATAGGCAGGTCGCAAAATGGCTCCGTGCTGTGCAAAATGGCTCCCCGCTGTGTTTAGGACTGATTGCTCGCTTTATAGGCACCGGAAAATGGCTGCCCAATGGAGGATCTTTGCTGGATGATGAGGTATTTCCCCCATTAGAATGCATTAACTGGTTTTTAATGCATTCTAATGGGTTTTTTACTTTCGCTTGACGACGATTTCGCTTTATAGCAATTTTGCTGGAACGGATTATCGTCGTCAAGCGAGGCACCACTGTATAGATCTACACAAAAAGTTTACACAAAGAGCACAAAAAAATTGAAACCATAAAACTGAGAAATCAAAATACAATATCGAACTGGAGTGCACGTTAAAAAAGTACGAAACAAAGAGAAACACAAAATGTTTTACAGAGCACAAGAATTCAAAAATGAAGCAAACTGCAATAACTACCCAGGCATCTCTCTTCTCAGCGTTGCTTGCCTGTGTTGTGCTGAAGAGACTCCAGGTCCTTGCAGACAGAGTCTTTCCAGAATCACAGTGTGGTATTC